CGCTTCTACTTCGCAGACATAGACACGATTCCGCGACTGAACGGATGCATTTTAATCTCACGGTCCTTGGAGATCCGTCTGTGTTGACTCCGCGGGTTTTCCCGATGTTTATTGTTTTCGCACCGATATCCTCGTCATTGTCGTCGCGGATTTCTACTATCGCTTTCCCAAGTATCTCATTTTTCCCAGCAATTTCTGGAAAGACAAGGCATCTCAAGCGATCAATTGTAAGATTATCTCGAAAATTATAGATTATTCGGATTTGCGAAATATAATTATACGAAAAATTAAGCCTGAAATGCACTGAAATTGCACTGATATTATTTTATAATTTTTTCATTAGTAAATTTTAACGACAACAGGATGTAATAATGGAAGACATTGATTATGTCGAATAATAATTTCGCTGTTCATATTTTTTTTATATTTTATGCTTTTATTTAACATTCTTGCAAGTAACGAGTACGCAAAGCTTAAGTTGAAATTCACAAAGACTACCAACTAACTTCCATCTGTGTTCTATTTCGTTGTATTTGACGTATCGAGATTGCGCAGCTTTATTTATTACTTGCATAGGGAACATAATGCTAAAATTGCTCGTGCTAGAGCGGATTAATGGCGTACTGCGAGTGCATTATTTCGCTTCGCAAATTTCGATCCCAATTAATATCATTCTGACAAGATTTGGCACCAACCGCATTTTAGTTTCCACTGTTGGTTCATTCTACATGTACATATAGCCGTGCAAATTGCAAATAAAATTTACAAAATCAATATTTTTAGAATATAGCTTTTCTCTATCCACAATTCTCAAAAAGAAGAAGAAAGAGAGAAACAAAAGATTTCAATTCGATTGTATCTAGAGATATAAAATGACTGTTTTTTTTTCTAATAAAAAAAACAAACGTTGAGAAAATTTTTTTCCAAAAAATTTTTTCATTGGAAAAAAACGAATTTGTTTCTTTTATTATTTCTTTTTTTAGTGTGAAATTATTTTTCTTCATGTTTTCTTATTAATCTAATAAAAAAATTAAATTCTTTTTCTTATATTTTTGATTTATCCTTTTTCAGAAGTAATTTTAATGACTTAATAAGATTTTTGTGGCAATTTATATCAAACATGCATTTATATCAAAATTACAAATTGTATTTTTGTATCTATAAAAGATAATTCATTACAAAATAGTTCAATTCTGATTTATTTTAGAGAATTTATCTAATTAACAATAGTAATTACATAATTATATAGCCAATTAGAATGTGATTTATATTTAAAATAGTAATAGTTAGTTCAAATATAAAAAATCTATTTATTTAAAAAATCAAAAATAATGAAAAATCAACTTGCAATAATCAAAATATAAAGATTTCCTTCTTTACACCTTTAATTGTATCACTGGCATTTGTATCTTTTATTATTAGTGATGTACAAATAGATCTTGTTATATTGATATGTCTACTGAAGAAATAAATGTTATATTAAGATATATATATATATATATATATATATATATATATATATATATCTTAATATAACATTTATTTCTTCAGTAGACATGTCTACTTCAGTATTACCTCATATTAAGATATATATATATATATATATATATATATATATATATATCTTAATATAACATTTATTTCTTCAGTAGACACATCAATATAACAAGACCTATTTGTACAACACTAATAAAAGATACAAATGCCAGTGATACAATTAAAGGTGTAAAGAAGGAAATCTTTATATTTTGATTATTGCAAGTTGATTTTTCATTATTTTTGATTTTTTAAATAAATAGATTTTTTATATTTGAACTAACTATTACTATTTTAAATATAAATATATATATATATATACACAATAAATTACGAAATTAATTTCATACATACGCTGTTGAAATGCGTATTAAAAGCATGAGAAAAACGAATCGGATGTGAATGAAAGCGTGATGGTCGCGTCCCCGCAATTACTGTATACGCTAATAACGTGTTTAATACATTCTCAGTTGCGTTAATTGCATTTCATATTAACGCGAGTATGGAGACTCTTCTCACTCGAGGAGAACTGTATCGAAATTCTGGGCACGTGTCATCGCACCGGTCGAATCCCGTGGTAATTCAAAATAACCGTTCTCAACAGAGTTTTGGCACACGGGATTTAGTAACTCGTTTTATATATATACGTACATATATATATATATATATATATATATATATATATATATATGTCTATGTGAGACATGTATTTGCACATTAAATTTTTTCTATATCTATAGGATGGTGCAGAATAACTTTATTCAGCTGAAATATCTCCGTTTTTTAGAAATATAAAAATATCGTACATATATATGCAATATTTTTATATTTTATATTTCTAAAAAACGGAGATATTCCAATTAGACAAAGTTATTTCGCTCTCCTATAGATATAGAAAGAGTTTAATGCACAAGCACATATCTCATAAATTTAAAAAAATCATTATATGACATGTTACACATGTCCTGATATGATCGTATTGGATTCATGTATGTTTTTATCTCGTCAATAATAATATAAAATATTTTTGCAATCGCGCGAAAATATGGGAACGCGAATAGAACACGAGCAGACAGATGACAAAAGAGTTTCGCGAGCTCGTTAAATTGTGATCGGAATAAAGCACGCTCGGCTTTATCACCTCGTTGCATTGCGGAAACATAATCGAAATTGACATAGTTCGCGATTGCGCGTTTAAATAATCTCGGGCCCGGGAAGGGTTATCGGTCGCGCAACGCAACTCTCTCCATTTCTCATCCCCGCCGGCGTTACCGGGTAATTATTGTAGGTCGGCAGTGCCCGGTTAATTACAGGACGACACACCTACGTTCATGCGCATGCGACCGAGCCGTCTGATATGTATGAAAATGAAATCGCTCGGCCGGATTTCCCGGCCATGCTGAGGATGTCCCGATTTTACCGGAAGCAGTCTCTACAGGAGCAAAAAATTGCATCCCTTTGTCAGATTAAAAATTAAAAACTATTAAATTAGAAGTATTATTATTTTTTTTAGGATTTACAAATATACACTTCCATGTTTTCTATTTTAAATCTTGGGGGAATGAAAAAATTAACGCATATACAAGCCACGTTTGATGCGTTTAAGATAATATCTCATTGTCAAGTCTGTTCAAAATTAAAAATTCTACCCTCCATCGTTGCACGCTTTACACCTCGATAGTGTACTAAAGCTATATCTTCCACGTTGCATATTTTAATTAGGTTTTAAGGTGGTCTGGCTTATGCGCGCGAGAGTCGCTTGAATATTCCATACTGTTGGGTCATCGACTCGCGCAATATGGCCTCCATTGCCTGATAATTATTAGGGAAGGTTTCAACCCTCGACGCCCCTTTGTAGGTGCGAGGCGCTCGTTTGGACAAAATAGGACCGTAAAGGGGCTACTACTCTTGCCGAGAGGGGGGAATTTCTCGCATGTTTCAACCCTGCACAGTTGCCTCGGTTATAATCGCAAAATATTTGAGATCGCTGAAAATCAATTTTTGCGAAAAAGTATTATTTACGCATATATAACATTACAGTGTTGATTGAGCCAAAAGGTTCTCATCTTCCTTAATTTACGGTTACATAAAGCTTGGTAAGATACGCACGTCAAATATGACTCTGCGGAAATTAAATTTTTACTCTATGAAAAACTCGACGGAATTTATTTCTCTACCGATTCTACAATATTCGTGCAATTGTGCGGTGTAATTACTTGGCGAAGCATTTGCTCGCTTGGATGGTCGGCGTGCTCGCTTTGGACAATTATAAAAAGATTATAATAAATGCCGAGTACTCTAGCGAATAATAGTTGGCGATATACGAAAAAAAAATATAATAATTCCAGTTCATTTCGCAATGCAAAGAATTGCGAGACTCGAAAATTTCGAAAATTCTTGCTGCAAAATTATGCATGAATCTCAATTCTTGATAATTCATCATGAATTAGATTCCCTGAAATCTGCATAGCATACAGATTTGTATTTAATGTATTTGATATTGCATATATTATATCCGTGATAATATTACATAAATCTTCATGCTTTGCAAACAACCACGTAGCAGGGAAAAAAAATAATAAGTATGAGATTTCTTCTCTCTAATTTGGTCTTCTCATACTCTTTCAGGATCTATATGAGTTTGTTAATTAAGGCAAAATAGAGTCGTCAAAGAATAGACGATTAAATGAGACGGATGAAAAGAAAAAGCTTAAAAACTTATATAATCATCCATGCAAAATAATTGTATAACGTAATAATATGTTGTCACAATTTCGTTTTTCATTCTCAGTAAACTTTTTCTTATATCTATAATTTTCACTTTTTTAAGTAATAAAAAAGTATATATATATATATATATATATATATATATATACTTACTATATAACTAGTATATATATATATATATATATATATATATATATATAATATATAGCTATTATATTTTATAAGAAGTCGTAAAAGATATATAATTTTTTCACATTATAATTAATATTATTAATAAGAAAAAGTTCATTATGAAATTCACTTTTTAGAACAACTTTTCTCTTAAAATTTAATATTCCCCTCATTTAATACAATTCATAACATTACGTTTAATTGGAAAGAAGGAGCGGAAGAAGCATATTATGCGAACGTAGCTCTATATTATCAGGACAAATAAGTGAGATTCCGTGAATGATGGCGTGAATTCGGCACGAAACAGGGAGTGTGGTGTGCTAGCGGCAGAGGTTGACCGAGGAGAGGATAGTCGCGGTGGATGAGGACGAGAGAGGAGGCGGCGGATGGGTGGCTGCAGCTCGCTCAGGAAGGCAAGCCGGGGGTAGGGGGTGGGGGGCGACGAGCGGGGGAGGGCGGAATTTCGCGCGTGCTCGGCTTCATCCCCCTCGGCCGCCGTCACCGCCACCGCTGGATGCTGAGGGTAGCTGGACCGCGCGCGTGAGGTGTCAGTTCTGCGCGCGATCTCCTCCCTGAAGGTGTCAACCTGCTCGCGATCTGCTCCAACGTGTGTTCTCCAAAAGTGGTCACGCACGATCGCACGCACATTCCCAAATTTCTCCTCGAGTCCCCCTTTTCTCGCCCCTTTTCTCGCGCTCGCCCTTTCTTCTCCGCTTTCCCTCGCGGGTTCGACGATCTTGTGAAACGGACCGTTCAGTGAAAAGTTCGAGGGACGCTCTCTCTCCTAAACGCGAACGAGGAGAGTCGTACTAGTTCGAGTCTGGCACGTGACACTCTTCAGCTGGCGACGACTATCATGCTGGCCGGGATCTTCGAGGGCAACAATGTACGTGAAAAATCGTTTGCGGTAGGAAATTCGAGCGCATGCATTCTTTCAATGTGCTTGCACGGCTTTAAAGAGGAAAATAAATGTTAGTGATGCCTGCTGAGAAGAGAGACACACCATTGTTGGATGCGCTGTATTAATATCAGAACACACAAAATCATTACTTTTCATTCTTTTTTGTTTTTTAATCGGCTATAAAATTTATATTTTAATATCATAATTTTGTAAAGAATAATTATAAACTATATTACATGTAAATTATATGAAAAAAAATTATTTATTATTTGAAAATTATTTTTTCTTTACAAGTTAATAATATTAGATGTATACCGACCAGTATTCTAAATCTTCTGATATTAACTAAGAATATTGATTTAAAAATAATTTTTTTAATAAATGTATTATAATTCGTATTAATATAATGAATTTTTACAAGCAAAACTTCTGTTAAATCAGTCAATATCGTGCTTTCAATTATCGTGTATTACGTCAACTCATTGTAATAACTATTCTATTTTGCTTAAGAGTAATTCTATTCGGCTTTTATTCCTTCTATCTTCCATAAAGGGCGATTCTGAGCGAATTGCACTCGCGGTGCCAATAATCGTGATACTAAGTGTTATGACATATCGATATGCTTATAGATTCTATCCTGTAATTCTGAGAGATTTTGTGTGATTATTACATACTCTTCTTTTTTCTTTCCATTTTACTTAATACCATAAATGGAACGATATTCTTTCGTATGTTCGCTATATTTCCTGAACATGTTGTAAATAAAATATTTTATTAGCTCGTATATACTTTTACCTTTATGTTTACCACGTTTTATTTGCCTAGAAATCCTATTCTTCAACGATATTTATTCACGTTGTTTTCTTAAATAAATAAAGGTCTCGTAAAATTACCTAATTATTATGATAATCATATCTTTTGATTTAAATTGACATGTTAAGATAACTTGTAATTAAGTTACATACAAATTATACCGTCATTCTACCTTAATAAGTTCTAAAATTAAGAGAGAAGACACGTGGGAGAGAAAGAGAGAGAATTAAAGATCACTTTAGTTCCTAATTTAAAGTTGCATCCGATAAAATCATACATGCGGTCGTCGTATTATTTAAATGAGACTCGAATCGCATTATTCGCAGAAATGTGAGTATAAGATTCTAAGTTCAAGTCTCTTAATAACATTCGCATATCAGATGTCATCGTACTTTCCGCGAGCGTGTTAGCTCTGTTCAACGTCTCTCCCTTTCTCGTTATCATGTCGACTAATCAACCGTATCTCACTGTCAAAGAGGGTGCAGCTTTGAAAAAAACCGACTGTAGATTTCGTTGCATTCTGATACACAAATTAAACGCTTACACTTTGCGTGCTGCGCATTAATAACGTCACGCGAACGAATATCGTTGGCGTATTGCCGTTCCCTGCGTAAGAGAATGGTCGTAGGTAGATATGGCGGGTCGTATATCGCGGAGGCTGGTTCCTCAGGTGGCGATAATTCATCGGAGTAACTCGACCACTCTCCGCGGATGATTAATTAATGTCAGAGACAGAGCTCGTTTTCGCTCCCAATTTTCTCATCTTTTTATCACTTGTCTCGTGCGATGGCTACTCGATAATTTTTATTATTCCGTTTGGCCTTATTCGCAATGCTTTATGCTATATCGATTATATAATTTGAACGAAAGAAAAATAATTCTAAATAATATATTTCCTTTTATTGTACATATATCTTAGTAAGTCTCAAAATAAAATGAATTTACTTTAGTAAATTGTGCAAAAATTCATCGTATACTTTGTATAGTTTATTCAAAAGATTTTTACATTGATTTATAATATTGAGAGGTATGATAAGTCTCCTTCAATAATTTTTTTTATTTTTATAAATATGTTAAAATAGAGCCAGAATAATTTTAAATAATTACTGAACCTCTCACGCCTTATTTATTTATTTATATTGTTAATAATTATTTCTTCTTTTCTATAATAATTATTTTTTCTTTTTCATAATTATTTTTTGATATTATATTTCTCATATTTACAAAATCTCAGACCTTATTGTTTATTATCTTAATACACTTAATACAATCAAAAGAATCATTTCATATTCTTTAATTAGTACATCCATCCTTCAAGTTCAATTTATTACAGGTGTCACATATATATTTCACGTTCAGATTTATTTTCGGACCGCATGCTCGAATTTCCGCACACTTTTACGATCGTTGTCAATGTTTTTGGCACCTTGCCGGTGATTTTCCGTCAAAAGAACGTACCTCGCGGAATCACCCTTTGGGGTTTACGCTCGGTAAAATCTTTGTTGGCTCTTTGTTCTTGTCCCAAATGTTTGGCTTAAACATGCACATGTATGATGCAAATAAGCTCTACAGTCTGCTTGATGCATCAAAAACAGGAGCAAATCCAATTTACCCATTTTAAGCGTTTCATTGATTCTGAGACCTTATTATTAGAACGACTGTTTATCCGGACAGAGATACATCGATGTCCGAATAAATTTTGATGTTATGCATTATTACGATATTATAATCAAGAGAAACAAAATATATATAAATATTTATATATTAATTTTATTATAATAATATTCAAAGACAAGTTGCCAGATAGATCGTATTGTTCGTGAAAACATTTGTTGATGCATCTCTTCGAAATTTTCTCTTCTTCATTTTAATCTTCATTTTTATACAGATAAATGTGTTTTGCTTTTCAATAAAATTATATTAGAAATTAAATAATGCGTATTTTGTTATATTATTGTTGGGTTTTGATAGAAAAAGTTTTATAGTATTCCAGTAATTTCAAGAAAATTTCTCAAACAATTATACTATCCTTAAAGTTTAATTCGCTAAAATTTTATAATTCTCAGCTTTAAATGGTCTCATTATTTAATACAGATGTTGAGCTTTTAATTTCGGTTTGTTGAAATAAAAAACAAAAACAAAAGTCGTATTTTCACCGAGTGATATGGAGTTGTTGTAGAAACTATGCGCCGCCATATTAATTTCAGTTTACGCCACGGTCAACTCGAGCTAAAGTCGAAGTGAAATTGCTCCACATTTTTCCCATTTTTTCTCCAGTAATACCAGATTAAGCATGCTAATAAATACTAACATCAAGCAAACATCATGCAAAATATTAAGCTATTGTTGTAATGTGCCCGATCATAATCAATAATTTGCTTTTTTAGAGATTTTAAGAACTTTAATCTTTTTTTTTAAAGAAGATTTTTATCTTGTTTAACGAAATTATGTTTTTTTTTAATGTAAAAGTCGACTTTTCGTATATTGTAAAAGAATGAGAAAAATCAACTGTTGTATAAAGAAGCATATTATAATTTTGTTAAAAAAAGAAATAAATATTTTTCTAAAAAAATTTAAAATCTTAAAATCTCTAAAGTATCTCTACTTGAAACAAAACAATGCAGATCATATTATGTGAAATTCTTTGAGACCAATCTTTTTCTATTTTTTTAATACAGAACTTTAAGATTATTCAAAGTAACTTCAAAATTATTCCAAGTAAGATATAATTTACTCTGTCTAAAGACTGCATACAAATTGTCACATAAACATCGCGATCAATATCGATGAAACAATATAAATTTTTTCATCAATATATTTTTGAATTAATTATATGTTATATAATATAAATATAATTTTTTTTAAACGTAACATGAAAGTTTTGCATAGAGATTTTTTGTTATATTACTACGACTAATTTTATTCTCATTTAATCGTTATCTGACGATACGAATACAGCTAAAAATTTTTCTCAAAAATATCATATGTCGACGAAAATACATGTCGGTTGCACATTTCGCGCGTCACTGAAATTCGCGTAATTTACTGAATTTTTCGCGGAACGCTTGACAGCTATGCTGTAACGTTACTGATGTAACGACACTGGTCGATCCTCACTCGTAAAACCCGTAAAGTATTCTTTGTTTATCGCTGTTATCGAGATATATATGTTTCAGGGCAGGCGTTCCAGCTATTTTTTCATTAAACGCAAATTCGACTCGAACCGAGGCGCGCGAATAATTCGCACGAGCGCGGAAATAACATTTTACGGCCCGTGCGATGCGGCTTCGCGCAAGAAAATCGAATTTCGGGCGCTCGAAAGGGATTCCGTTGGTTGTTTTTAGCGGTGAGAAAATTAGAGACCGCGATGGTGGCCACTGCGTTAATTGCTTTAACTGCTCCAGCATTTTCCACGATTGACAGTCTCGTGATTCACGCTTATTATACCTATCTGCGCATCTCCGCGATATGAGAAATATCGCAATCGCATCGGCTTTTTATCCCCTTTAATTCCTGTCCCAATTATTATCCGCATGAAATTGATTAATTCGAATAAAAGGATAAACCATATCGTTGTTTGTGCAAACGTTGAATGAAAAGATTTAATTAATTTGGATGAATAAAAATGAACTAAAGCTTTGAAAATAAATTTGATTAAAAATGACTCGTTCCCCCGCTTTACACAGATCTTATCCAGATAAATCCTTTCGAGATCGATCGACAAAGATATACGTTGCATGTATTGAAACCTTGCCATTTCGTCTCTATTCACAACGTAGAAATCAGTTTCATTTAACGCAGCGAACGTCAGAGAATCTCACTGCGCATTTTATTCGAGAACTTTATCGACGGATTGACCGAATTCTCCGTCTGTTGCGAAAAGGGAGAAATTTCTTAGGCGGCTCTTCTCCCGGGAAATGAAGATTCGAAACGACTTCGACGTATCGATTTCAATTTCGAAACGTGTAAACTCATCCTCTACTTACTGACGATTCGCGATCATCGCGATAAAACACTTTCGTTCGCGTGAAAATATTCTCTTCGACAGATCTTAATCAGAGATGTATAAGTCAGGCGCGATGATGACGTTGAAAACGACAGTTTCCCTTATCTTGTCCCGATTAAATCCAGTAATTGTCGTGAGATCCAGCATGGATGACAAATGAATCGGG